GAGAGAGAGAGAGAGAGAGAGAGAGAGAGAGAGAGAGAGAGAAATTGAGAAATAGAGAAATAGAGAAATAGAGAAAAATAGAGTAAGAGGGGAAACAGGTACATACAGAATCAATACGATATACCACAATCTTAGTCATGAACGCAAACATAATTAATGTTTGATCGAGTAACAACACGGGCCTACTCTATCAGAAAAAACATCCCCCGAACCTCCATGGTTTTATACATATCAGAAACACTAAAGTTTGAGAACGTATTCATCTTTAATGACCCGGGAACTGAGAGGTGTTTGAAGAAGGGAAAATAAAAACTGAATGAAAAAAGTAAAAGAAAGAATGAATGAATGAAAGATAGAAAGACAAAGAAAGAAAAAAAAGTGTTTAAAGTAGAAAGAAAGAAACTAATTTGTTTGAAGTAAATATAATTATTTTTAAGTAAGTAAGAAAGAAAAATAAATGAAAAAAGAAAAAGAAAGAATGAATGCTTAAAGTAAGGAAAAAGGAAGAAAAAAAAGAAAGAAAGAAAGAGAGAGAGAGAGAGAGAGAGAGAGAGAGAGAGAGAGAGAGAGAGAGAGAGAAAGAGAGATTTGCTCGCAGAAAGAAGGACAGATAGGAAAGAGCGGAATGTGTTTGGGGTAGGTAGATAAAGGAGAACTTTAATTAAAAAGAAATAAGAATTAATGAATGAAATAGAACCACTGAAATTATAACAAACGAAAAAGATGAAAGAAAAAACCCCCACGAAGAATGAACAAACTAGCCAAAGACAAGAAAGCAAGAAAGAAAGTAAGAAAACGCAAGAAAGAAAGCAAGAAAGAATGCGAGAAAAAGCAAGAAAGCAGGACAGAAAGAAAGAATGAAAGAAAGAAAGAAAGAAAGAAAGAAAGAAAGAAAGAAAGAAAGAAAGAAAGAAAGAAAGAAAGAAAGAAAAAAAAAAGAAAGAAAGAGAGTTAGTGTTAAGGAGGATCACGTGAATTTTTCGATCTGCGAATTTTAGCCTTCTACTGGGTATAATTGGAATAACATTTGCGGTTGCAGCAGCAGCAGTAGTAGTAGTAGTAGTAGTAGTAGTAGTAGTAGTAGTAGTAGTAGTAGTAGTAGTAGCAGTAGCAGTAGCAGTAGCAGTAGCAGTAGCAGAGTAGCAGTAGCAGTAGTAGTAGCAGTAGTAGTAGCAGTAGTAGTAGC